GAATGTCTGTGGGGCTAAGGAGATCTGTATAGCCCAGCACAGTACCTAGACACAGGAAGGCCTCAGTACACAACAGCTCTTTTCCTGCTAATAGTGAGTGAGTGGTGGCATGATAGTACAGTTGAAGGAGGTAGAAATGAGGGGGCCAGTGGCCTGTCCTGGAACCTGCTGCTACACTCATCACACCCCCCCTCAGAGTGCGGAAGCTGCCGCCGAGGCCACCAAAAATATGGAAGCTGGAGCCGGAAGAGCCAGTTACATCAGCTCTGCGCGTCTGGAGCAGCCGGACCCCGGGGCCGTGGCAGCAGCTGCTATCCTCCGTGCCATCCTGGAGGTCTTGCAGAGCCAGGGTGCGTGATGTCCTCAGCCCTCAACTCCTCTCACAGTGGTGCCGAGGTGGCCACTGTCACCGTCCCAAGTCCAGCAGGAAGTCCTCCACCAAGCCTGCAGAACCACACTGCAGCCAGCCAAAATGGGCCAGGCACCTACCTCTCCAGCTCTGCCATTTCCCTCCTGCAGAAGGGTGGAGTTCCTAAGTCCCCCTGCCCTGGGTCTGGGCTTCAGTGATAAGGCCTTTTCCTCCTCCTTGAGTTGAAGCACAGCCATTATATTGTAAGGGTAATTTGCCCTAAAACTCCAAAGCATTTTCAGTGAAGGGCCCTCTGCACCTGAATCTGAGACAATGTGGAGAAGAAAGCTAATAAAGCACATTGATGCCATAAAGCTGCTGCTTCCTGTTAGACCTGTCAGCAATGATCCTGACCCAGCTCCTACCAGGAAGATCATTCCCACTGAGTTCCCAGATAGCAGGCTCTGCTCAGTTGGCTTTCCCGGGTTCTCCACTCCTGACCTCCTTCCCTTAGACACCTGACACATGTGGAAATGGCACAAAGGCTCCCAATTACAGGTGCAGTGCTCCTTTGGGAATTGAATTTGGGACACCGGAAGGAAAAGAAATCATATTCTAAGGCTCAGTTACAGACCAGAAACTGTAGCCAAGCCAGCCCCCAGCTTCTTTTCTAGAGCAGTTACTGATGGTACCTGGTATACGGTGGACATGGCACAGTGCTTGCTGGCACCTCCTTTGTGTAGAAGGGTGGCAGAAGGCACAGGCCATGGACTCAGACCACATGCATATGATGGAGAATCCAGTTCTGCTTTAAACAGCTGTGTGAACTCAGACGCACTCTGGCCTTGTGGAATCTCAAGTTAGAATGGTACTGATGTTACCAGAATGGAAGAGAATCATGACTCCATAAAAGTGCACCCCTAAGGGTGGTCTGAGTATTCATGCATTAGGGGTGATTAGCACCAATTGCCACGTACAGCTTATCACCCCATAGAGCTACCCTCATCAGAACCCCCTGCCCATCAGCCAGAGCACAGGGGCAGTATCAACACTCAAAGGTGCCCATGCCCAGCACCTGAGGGGACTGGCCTGAGTGCATTTTGGATCCAAACTCTACCACTGCCTGACAGGGTAACCCCAGGCCAGTCACTTACACTTGGATTTTATTTTATAGGTTTCTTTCTCACAAGATAAACAAGTGCTCAAAAGTTAGTAACTATTTTTTTTAACAAATTATGTTTCTAATATTTATTTTCATCTACTCAAAAGGTGGAGTGGGAGAAAGATTTTCCATCACTGGTTGATTCCTCAAGTGCTCCCAATAACCAGTTCCATGCTAATGATGAATTCAGGAGCCAGGAACTCCAGTCTCCCCTGTGTGTGTCAAAGACCCAGACACTCAAGGCTTTTTCCACTGTTCCCAGGCACAGGAGCAGGGAGTTGGAACAGATGTAGAGTAGCCAGGACGCAAACTGGCACTCCCATATGGGAAGCAAGTGTTGCAAGCAGCAGCTGGACTCTGCACTGGAACACCCACCCCAGTCAGCTGTTCACACATCCGCATTCATGGGACTCTGCTATGATTCTATGTGGACAATCATGGAGCTGTTTTGTGCCTTCTGGTTGGCTTTCCCCTGGTTCTGTGAGGGGCAAGGCTATTCCGGGGCTCTTCCAAGTGGCCCCAGAGCTCAGGTAACCATGATGTTATTTCAGCAGGGAAGGATTTTGTTAGGGACTTAAAAAAAAATTCATGGGCCCGGCACGGTGGCGCAAGTGGTTAAGGTCCTTGACTTGCATGCCCGGGATCCCAAATGGGTGCCGGTTCTAATCCCGGCAGCCCCGCTTCCCTTCCAGCTCCCTGCTTGTGGCCTGGGAAAGCAGTCAAGGACGGCCCAAAGCCTTGGGACCCTGTACCCGCGTGGGAGACCCGGAAGAGTCTCCTGGCTTCGGATCAGCCTAGCATCGGCCGTTGCGCTCACTTGGGGAGTGAATCATCGGACGGAAGATCTTCCTCTCTGTCTCTCCTCTCTGTATATCCGCCTTTCCAATGAAAAAAATAATAAAAATAAATCTTTTAAAAAAAAATTCATTGGGAAAATAGATCTTCAGCAAGAAGAAGAGACAAAGATCTTCGAACCACTGGTTCACTCCCCAGATGGCCACAATGGCCAGAGCTGAGTTGATCAAAAGCTAGGAGCTTCTTCTAGGTCTACCAGTTTGCCAGGCCACAAGCAGGGAGCTGGATGGGAAGTGAAGCAGAGGGACATGAAGCAGCCTACCATATGGTATCCTGACACTTGGAGATGAATTAGCCACTAAGCCATCGTACCTGGCCTGGGTTTTTGGTTTTTGTTTATTTTTGATGATGTTTACGTAGTTGATTAATATGGGAAGGGTCAAGGGTTAGAGGAAAGTGAGTGAGATCATTGTTTTCACCTTTTTTTTTTTCTGTCTTCCTGTATCTGGGGTAAGGAAGGAAAGAAGGGGAGAATCCACACCCAGCCTCCCAACTGCCTCTGAACCTTGGGATGGGAGAGAGCAACCCGATGCTATCCCAGGGTCCCCAATGTGGAACATATTCCAAGGGACCTGCTCAAATGGTTTTGGTAGTTCAATAGTTCTGAAATGCTGTCCATCTCACCACTCCAAACATGATGAAATCTGTGTTCCACAGGCTGATATAGTCTACCTTAGAGTCTCTATTTGCCCAGATATTCACTGCCAACTCTTGGATGGGGTAATTTGTTTTGTCCTCCATCCTGTTATGGTACCAGGTGTCCTCTGCAGGCTCCAATGGACTACCATATCTCCTATGTACAACTGGATATGCTGTCTACTGCTCCATCTGAGCCACTAGGAAGCCCATTTATGACACACACACTCCACGGTCAGACCATGGAACCTTTGATTCTCCCCATGGTTGGAGTTCTGAATCCAGCACTTCATTTGGGGGGATCCCCAAAGAAACCTCATCTGAGGTGATCCCAGACCTGATCTGTATGTGTGCTTGCCAATATAGGATCCGGCTCAGTCCATTGCCTACATCAGCCTCCTGGGTCAGTTTTGTGTCCAGCCCTGTCTCCTATGCAAACCAATGGGTGTTGGAGCCCAGCCCAGTCCTGCCCATCACACACTCAGCCTTCACGTAAACCAGCAAGAGCTGCAACCTAGTCAGAGCGACCCACAATAACCCCCCCCACCAGGCCCGCCCCCCTGCCCTGATTCCTGTGCTTACCAGTATGCAGCAGACTGGTCCAGTCTTTCCCACATCCCACTCAGCTCTCATACATACCAGTAAGCATTGAAACCTAGTTCAACATGACCAGTCCCTCTATCCAGCCCACACTCATGCTGGTGGGTGCCATTCTAGCCATGCCCACCCACAAGCCCTGGTTCTCATGCTTACCTGCGGGAGTGGCAACCCAAAAGAGGTGCCCAGTTTCCTTATGGTCCCACTCCCAGACCTTGCACTCTCCAGGTGGTTCTGCAGTTTAGCTTGGTAGAATTTGCCACCTGTGACAGTGCCTGCCAGCTGATGCTGTGGCAAAACCCAACCAACCCACACCCACTCTGGCTTATGCATGCACCAGTGGGTACAGTCAGCCCAGTTTGGATTTCCCCCTAGCCAAGCTCACATGCAGGCCAACAGGTTTTATAGCCCTGCCCCCAATTCCAGCTCTCACACTTACCAGTAGGAGTAGTGGTCCAGCAGGGGAGCATCCCCTGCAACCACTCTACCAGGCTCACACCCCTCCCCTTGGGTCTCACGTGTGCTGATTGGATGCTGCAACCCAGTCTGGCATGTCTTCTTTTTTTTTTAAAGATTTATTTATTTATTGGAAAGTCAGATATACAGAGAGGAGGAGAGACAGAGAGAAAGATCCTCCGTCTGATGATTTACTTCCCAAGTGAGTACAACGGCCGATGTTATGCCAATCTGAAGCCAGGATCCAGGAACTTCTTCCGGGTATCCCACACGGGTGCAGGGTCCCAAGGCTTTGGGCTGTCCTTGACTGCTTTCCCAGGCCACAAACGGAGCTGGATGGGAAGTGGGGCTGCCAGGATTAGAACTGGTGCCCATAATAGGATCCCGGCGTGTTCAAGGCAAGGATTTAAGCCACTAGGCCATGCCGCCAGGCCCCAGTCTGGCATGTCTTGCTTCACCCTGGCATTTGCCAGTGGGTACTGTGGTCTGGTCCAGCTCATCCTGGTGAGCTGGACCAGACCACAGCCAACCCATCCTGGAGCTTTTTCATTCATGGTGAAGTGATGTGATATTGGGAAGTGGGACCTTTGAGAAAAATAAGGTGGTGAGGATGGAGCCTCGATGAATGGATTAGTGTTCCTAAAAGGGCCCTGGAGAGGGCTCATGCACTCTGTCCCAACTAAGGCTGAGTGGGAAGTCTGGAGAAGGAGCCCTCATTGGCAAGACCTGTGCTTGTTGTTTACACCCCCCAGTCTGGTGGCTTCTGCTCTAGCATCACAAGTGGGTTAAGACAGCTCTGACTCTAAACACCTTTGATGAACATCACGCTTCATAAACAAGTGAGATACCTAACCATCTGGAAAGGGGGGAGCCAATCATGTGACCCAGGAGCCCAGCCCCTCTCCCAGCAATGCTGTAGGTTTCCTCCGTGAGGCAGCTCAACATCTGACAGTGTGCTGCCCAATCTCTCCCTCAGAGCTGGCAGACCCAAACCTCAGGCCTCATCCATCTTGTCTGCTAAGCAAATGAAACCTGGAGGTGGCAAGACTTGATTTTTTATTTTATTTTATTTATCTGTTAAAGAAACAGAGCTCCCATCCTCTAGTTCACGCTTGGGATGCCCACAGCAGCTGAGCAGCCAAAGCCAGGGAGCCCAGAACTCAGTGCTTGTCTCCCATGTGAACCATCATACTGTGGCCTCCAGCAGCATGGAGGCAGTTTAACCAGTGTCTTAACCATGAGGTCAAGTGCAGGCTTGTCAAGGCTGACTTGGAGAAGGCAAGAAAAGCAACAGTGCGAGAGAGGGGCAAGACTTCTCCCTCCCCATCCGTTTCTCCCTAGGAAAGGAACAAAACTCCTACTCTGGCATCACACAGGGACTGGGGTAAGCAATGTAAGTGACTGTTGTGGGGGCAGGGCAGCACCTTGGTGCTCAGCAAGGGTCGTCTGTGGAAGGAGCTCCTGGGGCCTGCTTGAGGACACAGCACCGCAGTGCTGGCCTTGGTTTCATGGTGAGCAGGAGCGGGGAGCACAGCTGGTCTTGGACCCTGGCAGGTAAGAAGGGCCTGGCCTAGTGAGGGGCAGTAAGGGAACCCACCAGCTCTGCGACTTGGCACTCCCGTAGCACCTGGGGACAGGTCGTCTGTCCTTGGAGAGCAGGTTACCAGGGTTCGCAGGACTGCCTGACGGTGACAGGCACATACGTCACAGGAAAAGGCCGGGATCCGGGTCCCAGCTGTAGCAGCAGCTGGAAGAGGTACAGCCACATGGGCACACACAGAGATCAGAGGGCAATGATGCGGACCAGCAGCTCCAAGTGTCCAGCTCCTCCACTTCACCCCTGCTGAAGCTGTTTTCTGCCACCCTCCGCCCCTTCTTTAGTGACTTCTGCCCAACCTTCTATCCGTGGGCTGGCTGGGGACACCAGAGCAGATAAAGCTGCTTCTTGGGTGGCTGGACTAAAGTGCATACCTTCGAGGGGAAAGCTGACCTCCCTCAGCTTCTACGTCATGGACTGCACTTGACTCCCAGCTTTTGTGAGCTGTTGGGATTGCGTACCCCAACCCCAGGAGCCTAAAGGGGCAGTTGCCTGACTTCACACAGAGCAGATGCAGCAGGACCAACCAAGGCAAGGAGGATCTGGTGGAAACAGAGGACCTGAGAAGTCCGTAACAAGAAGCCAAAGCCTTCAAGAAAAGCGGGTGGGCAGCATGTGGCTGGAGACAGCAGACCTGATCCCCAGGCAGGAAGTTGGGGCCAGCACCCAAAGAAAGTGTGTTGCCCCAGGAGTAGCAGCGCTTCTGAGAAGAGTGCAGACTGTACCACCGACTGCTTCTGAAGCCCCTTCCCGCTTCAGTCCCCATTGTGCAGCAGAGGCTGGAAAGAGATGCATGGGGTTAATGACACATCAGAACAGTCCCAGACCCACAGGGGTCTCACCAGGCCTGAGCTGTTCAGATAGAGTCCAACCCAAGGGGTAATCTTCACCCAGCCACCAGATCTCTCAGGGAGCCCTCAAAGCCCCCAAGCCTGGCCCTGGTCCCCTACATCTTGTCAGACACTCAATGGTCAGGAAGAACAGGTCCTACTTGGAGCACTCATTCCTGTGGACTAGCTGTGAACAGCACACCTCACCTCACGCTTCAGCCTGCATTCAGGGCACATGAGGTCTCACCTCACCCCACAGAGCCACTGGCCTGGAGAGGGGGCTGAGGTTCCTGATGGGCAGCCCCTAACAGCCCCTGCATGTGCTGGGACACTACTGTTTGACTAATGTTCCCCATCCCCTTCGAGCCACTTAGTGTCCCCTTGCTACTGTGTCTGTCTTCTCAGCGAAGTCCAGGACTCTCCTGGGTGACAGTGTCAAGGCCTGGAGTGGGGGACAGTATGCCGTACCTGCCTGTCAGTCAGGATCCCTGGCTCCGGGCGCTTCCAAGATGAAGCCAGAAGGATATACAGCACCAGAAGCCCGAAGGCCAGCACCAGCAGCCCGGTGCTATTGGCAAAGACAGCCTCAGAGGGCAGGCTGGAGTAGGGCTTGGCACCACCATTCCTGCAGATGACAAGACAATGTAGGTCCCAGAAGGACTTCCCCACTTGTTCTCTCCAAGTAGAAGATCTGAGGCTACTAACAGAGGGTAGAAAAATCTTCCTGCAACCGCCTGCGACCCAGAATGTGAATACACGAAGTGCCTGCCACCATAACAGACACTGAGTGCAGTTTCTCACCTAGGAGGAAACTGCAGCTCAAAGCAGGGAAATACACTGGCCAAATGTTACATAACCGGTAAATGGTGCAGCCAAGATCTGTACCCACATGTGTAAATCTTACTTGCTTCTCACTGTACTCCACGGCTTCAGAAATCAGACAGAAGTGGTTGGCATTAGTCTCTGGAGTTGTCTGCCCAATTCATACTCCAGCTCTGGGTGTCCTTAGGGAATTTACCGAACCTCTCTCTGCCTCCGTTCTCTCATTTGGAAGTGGCAATGACACCACCACTAAGGTCTATAAGGTAGCTGAAAGGATTAAATCTGAGGTGCTTAACACAGTTTCTGACCAATAGTAGGTACTGAATCAACCCAATAATAAATATTTGCCAACCAATTCAGCAATGTCAGCCCAAAGGAAGACCAGCTCTGTAACCTTTCAGATCAGGAAGGCCCTTAGACAGGCTCCATGCTCATGGAGTGTACTTTTTGAAGACCCCATTCCCTCCCCCTTAAAGGTGGGGACCCCATCATACTTACAAACTGAAGATAAGTTTCTCATTAATGCCAGAAATAACCGAAGCAATAGACAGTGCAAGGATGGAGGCTCCGAAGAACACATGGATGGGTTTCAGGAGGCTCCGCACCCACAGGGATGCCCAGGGCAGGAGGAAGATGGCAAAGCCCAGGGCCCACTGTGGACACAGGAAAGATGACATGTAACTGAACTGAGGTGACCAAAGGCCCACAGCTCATCCCACCCCACCAGTACCTCCCATCCATCGCCATCCCTTGGCTCTGCTTTCTTAACTTAAACATCTTCCACCAGGGATTACCCACCATCCCGCCCAGCTTCTACCTGTGAATTGTTTCTACACAAGCAACAAGAATATTAGAGGAACTGCTGAGCCACAATCCCGCTCCCCACGTTAACCCAACAGTCCTTGTTTCTCTTTGCTTCCTCCCAGCCCTTGCTCATAAAACCCTTCATTGGTATAGGGCTGACCTCGGAATATAGAAACCACTTCTAGAGTTGGTTTGGTTCAGAGAGAGCTTGGAGTGGGAAGTGGACAAGAAGTGGTTCATGAACATTAATGTAGGACATGCTATGACAAAGCCCAGAGGAATCCAAAAATGACAGATGTGTGAGGGGCAAAACCAACAGAGGAAAACTGGGGAGTTGGCCACCTCCCTCAGCCCTTCCAACTATCAAGTTAGAGGGGAGTGTCTGTGAGGCCCTCTTGACACAGGAAAGACCTAACCAGGGAGCCCCTGGCTGTTCAGCCCAGCAGTAGAGATCCAGGGAAGGCGTGAGGAGAAGACCCACCTGGGAGGCAAAGAGGATGACGGTGGTGATGCCCAGCCAGCTGTGCAGGGAGTAGAGGTGGGCGATTTTTCCGTGGCTATGAAACCGAAAGACAGCAACCAAGCCCACAACCGTGAAGATGAAGGCCAACAGGTGCAGGCCTGCATGGAGGGATTTCCAGGGCAGCTTTGGCCCCACCCAGGACTGGGGCAGGCGGTACACCAGCGACGCTGCAGGGGAGAACAGTCCAAGAGCTCAGCCACATCAGGGGAATTGTGGATCTTCCCCCATCCAACCTCTCCAAGAGGGAAGAAGTGCTAGCACATTTCAGTCATTGCCTCGGCATCTTCCACTCTCCCATCACACGAGGGATAGCAGTCAGCTATGAGAGAAGAGAGAAGGCAGGGGCAGGTATCCCTGAAGCTGCCACTTTATCATGATCATAAAGGCAGCTTGTGGGGCCAGCACAGTGGCACTGCATACTAGTCGTCTGCCTGTAGCACTAATGTGGGAGATCCAGAGGAAACGCCAGGCTTTGGATTGGCTCAGCTCCAGCCTTTGCGGCCATTTGGGGAGTGAATCAGCAAATAGAAAAACCTCTCTGACTCTCTGTGTAAAATATCCCATTCTCTGTGTAAAATCTGTCTTTCAAATAAAAATAAGTATTTCTTAAACAAAAGGCGGGGGAGCTTGTAAGCAGTTTGCAGACCCCAAAACTGTCACATTCAGTTTGTTTCATCAAACTGAATTCTCACCACTAAGGTTAGTGATCAGGCACATGGGCAGAAAGGTCTGATAAACTAGTTTCAAATCCAGGCTCTGCCTCTTGCCCATTGGACTTTTCCTTTCTAAGTTTCAGTTTCGTCACCTGTAAAATGGAGTAACAACAGAGCACACTGCACAAGCTAGTTGTAAGAATAAAATGGAATGACGTATGTGAAGCAAAAGGATAAGCTGCTATCATCAATGGCATCAGTGAGGCTCACCTAGGCCTCAAGGCACAGAGTTGAATGCACAGGGCAAGTCAGACCCTGGAGGAGGAAGTGAACCCCGTATTTGGATGAGCGACAGCTCGCAGGTCACAGCCCACTGCCTAGTCTTGTGGAACATTACCAGAACATTACCAGAACACAGTAAACACATGGGCCACACTCACGTCTATCTGCTCTCATGATACAATCACAGAGTCGAGTGGCTGCAACAGGTCACATGGGGCTGACACAGGCTAGACTATCCCCTCTCTGGCCCTTTACAGAATAAGTTTGCCAACCCCTTCCCTAGAGCACCTGTGCCCTGCGGAGATGCCTCTGCTTTCTCACATCTCCCCACAGATGACAGCTGGGTCCATTCCCATAACCCTAAACCTAACAGCGATAGAGGTCAGATTTAAGGAAAGAACGTACTCCAGCCATGGCCGCACCTCCCAGGCCAACCTGCTACTTACCAGCTCCGTAGAGTACCACCATGCCGGTGACCATGAGCACTGGGTGCCAGTTGAACATGGAGCTGCTGCCATCCCAGGCAAAGCCTCCGCGCCAGTGCTGCATCCAGTAGACAGTGAAGAGGACACACATGGAACCCAGTGAACCCAGCACCAGGCAGGTCACATAAAACCAGCCTGAAGCCATTCTGATTGAGCACTCCTAGAAAAAGCAGATGAAGTCACTGGTCCCCTCTGGTTTGGGGAGCACCCCGAACAGTAGCTACAGGAATCACACTGGCCTGGCTCAGGACTCATGGGAGAAATTTCACTGCTTCAGTCCCCACCAGCAGCCTGAGCACAGCTCCCAGGAGCCACAGCTCCAGGAGCTTCCTCCCCCATTTTTTTTTTTTTTTTTTAAGAGCTTGGGTGGGCCTGATCTCTGGTTACAGAGAAATGAGTGCATGTGGCAATGCACACATCAGCCAACTTGGGGCTGTGACTGGCCCTGGAGAGGGCCTTTTCTGCTGTGGATAGAAGCGCAGACTCCGGGATGACCCTCCCCTAGTGCAGAAGCAGAATATAAGGCATTATGTTCTCCTCTAGAAAAAGAAGGACTAGGAATCAAAACCCAGGTTAGTGGGCCAGCGTGGCACAGCACATTAAGCTGCCGCTTCTGACACTGACATCCCACATGTGGAGTGATTCATATCCCAACTCTCCTCTTCAGAGCCAGCTCCATGCTAATGCACCTTGGAAACAGAGAATAGCCCAAGCACCTGGGCCCCTGGATCCACATGGCTCCTGGCTTCAGCCTAACCCAGTCCTGGCCATGCAGTCATTTGGGAGAGTAAACCAGCATGTATGAAAGATCCTCTCTCCACCTCTGCCTGCCTCTCTCTCTAACTCTTCCTTTCAAATAAGTAAATATTTTTTTCTTAAACTCCAGATTAGCGCACACAAATGCCCAGAGGAGGCAGGTTAAAACTCCCAGTCAGAATGGAGAAAGCTCACTAAAGATTGAGTAGATTTGTCCAAAACATTGGGTACTGGAAGCGTTTCAGGTTTTAGAATTTTTCAGGTTTTTAACTATGTGCATGTCATCTGCATGATGTATTGGTGGTCAAAAAAGCAGTAGTGTGCATTTCCAGATTACTGTGGGGTTCACCAGGAACATGGCCTTCAGGCGCCCACGTCCATAGCAAAGTGTTTCCTCCCCAGACACTGAGCCCTGGGGAAGCAATTCACACTGGGAAGGTGGGATGAGGTGCTCACGCCTGACTCCCCCTGACCCAGACCTTGAACCTGGTGGTACCCCGCAGCTGTCACAGGCCCTTCTCACACTTCTGCTTTCTCTGGGGAAAGTCCAAGAGAGGCAAGAGGAAGTAAGAACTCATGGTCTAGAACGTAGAAGGTTTATTTTGAGATACCCATATTTACTGGTTAACTCAAAAACCCACCCTGTCCCAGCTGCGCACGAAAGGCCAGACTAACAGGCAAAGTCACAGGAATAGGCCTCCTTCCAGCTCTGTGCAGGCAGCACGGGTCCAGGCCTCGAGGCCGTCACCCCATCCCCTGGACCCACACCAAGAAGGCAACCACGCGGCCTCCAGCAACTGAACCAGCTGACAGCGACACAAACCAGCCAGTAACTCCCAAGGAGAAAGAACACCTGGTTCCTCACCTTGAGCCCAGTACAACTTGACACGGTGTTGGCCTGGGCGCTACTTACACACTGGGCACCTGGGGAAATCACCTAGTGTTTGTAGCACTCACAGTTTTCACCTGAAAGAAAGGTAGAACAATAATAAGAATACTCTATCACTGAACACTAGAATCTTTTTTTAAAGATTTATTTTATTTTTATTGGAAAGGCAGATATACAGAGAGGAGAGATAGAGAGGAAGATCTTCCGTCCAATGATTCACTCCCCAAGTGAGCACAACGGCCAATGCTATGCCGATCCAAAGCCAGGAGCTTCTTCCAGGTCTCCCACGCAGGTGGCAGGGTCCCAAAGCTTTGGGCCGTCCTCGACTGCTTTCCCAGGCCACAGGCAGGGAGCTGGATGGGAAGTGGGGCTGCCGGGATTAGAACCGGCGCCCATAGGGGATCCCAGGCGTGCAAGGTGAGGACCTTAACCGTGCCATCGCACCGGACCCAGAACACTAGAATCTTACACACACACCATTCCCTTCTGTGATAACTCTACGAGGACTATCATGCCCAACTCGCCCCTGAGGACACCAGGACACAAAGACCTTCAGTCATCAGAATAAGGACTCAACAAGTAGGTTGGGAGTTTCCAATTCCTGTCTGCTTGACTTCAAGGCCTTTGCTTTTTTTCTCTTATCCACAAGTTCTCAGAAGATCAAGCGAAAAAGTGGATCAGAGAACATTCTAGAAGTCAAATATTCTAACTCTTCTTAGTTACTGCTGTCATGGAACTTTGCAACAAAACCCTGAAGCTTGTGGTTGCTGCGCCTACCCTGGACTCTCAGTCACCCTGATCACATGCCAGCTCATCCTTCCCCGTGCATGTGTTCACCTAACCAGAACAGGCGCTGGGTTCTCACCTGGTGCACGTGTTCACCTAATCAGAACAGACACTGGGTTCTCACCTGGTGCTCCAAGCTACAGTCATCTCCACAGGAAGGTGTGAAGGCTGGGGGCAGGGTTGGGAGGGGTCAGCTAAATCTGAGTTTCACTGAGTCTAGTGACTTCCTTAAAACTTTGTGACTCAACTATTGGGTTCTGAGATATGCCACTGAGTCCTAGCACTGCCCTCTTAGTTCCCACCAGCACAGAGGAAGTCTCTGGTCATTAAATATTCAGCTAAAACCTTCTCCACCTAAGGTGAAATAAGTCAGCATGCAGGAACTCCTTGTTGGAAACAAGTCCCATGCAGCCGACATCTGCTTCCATAACTTCTGTCTTCCCAAATAGAAGTGGGTAGGTGGGGGTGGGGGGCATGTGGATTTCATGTTAAGATATTGTTGAAATGCCCACAACTCAAAAATGCCTGATTCAAGTCCTGGCAACTCTGAACTTCATATCCAGCTTCCAGTTAATGCACCAGGGAGGCAGTAGAGGAAGCCAAAGGACTGGGACCCTGTGCCTGTTGGGAGACCCCGGGGAAGCTCCTGGCTTTGGATCAACTCAACTCCAGCCATTGCGGCCACTTAGGGAGTTGAACCAGTGGATGGAGGATCCTTTTCTCTGTCTCTCCTCTCTGTGGATCTGAGTTTACAACAAAAATAAATAAAATAATAATAATTTTTTAAAAATGGGGCCCGGCGCGGTGGCGCAAGTGGTTAAGTCCTCGCCTAGCACGCCCGGGATCCCCTATGGGCGCCGGTTCTAATCCCGGCAGCCCCGCTTCCCTTCCAGCTCCCTGCCTGTGGCCTGGGAAAGCAGTCGAGGACGGCCCAAAGCTTTGGGACCCTGCACCCGCGTGGGAGACCCAGAAGAGGCTCCTGGCTTCGGATTGGCATAGTATCGACCCGTTGCGGCTCACTTGGGGAGTGAATCATGGGATGGAAGATCTTCCTCTCTGTCTCTCCTCTCTGTATATCCGCCTTTCCAATAAAAAATAATAAAAAATAAATCTTTAAAAAAAAAAATGGAATGAGAGGCTCACATTGCAGGTTAGGCTACTGCTTGTAAGGCCAGCAGCCCATAGCAGCGGTCCAGGTTCAAGTCTCAACTGCTGTGTCTGATCCAGCTTTCTATTAATGCACACCCAAGGACCTGGGCCTCCGCCACTCAGATGGAAGACTTGAATGCAGCTCCAGACTCTGAGCTTCTGCCAGTTGCAGCCTTTTTGGGGGCGTGAATCAGCAAATGGAAGCTTTTCCTAGCATTCTCTCCCTGTTGCTCTGCCTTTCAAATATATATATTTTTTAATTCAACAATCCAGACTTGGGGCTCAAGTCTTATATTCCTTATCTTACAGGTAAAATACTAGGAAACACATGTGACATAGCAAGCTTGCATCACTGGCATCCCACATGGACATGTTTCACATCCCGGATGATCCAGCTCCCTGCCAATGGCCTGGGAAAATCAGCAGATGCTCCAAGAGTTTAAGTCCCTGCCATCCACAGATACCTGGGTGGAGATGCCAGCTTCAGCCTGGCCCAGTGCTGGTGGATGCAGCCAGAGGGGAGGGCTCTCTGTCATTCTCTCAAGTGGGTAAAATAAAAAATCGTTTAAAAGAAACAAAAATAAATTAAAGCTACTGCTAATCCCAAGGCCCTGACAAGAGAAAAGATTTGACCAAGAAGAGCGGCAGAGTTGGTGCAGGAATTAAGAGTCCACCCATGTTCCCAAAGGTGGACAATGCGAAGTCAGGGCTCAGAAGTGAAAGCCCGAGTCCAAGAGGAGGTAGGCAAGCATGAGCGTGGGTACAGACCTGTCTCGGACCGGGCCCAGGTTTCCAAAGACTGGGTCCGGCCACTTGTGGGCTGGGTGCTTGGTATCGCCTACACCTCCGAGGAAAACTGGGCAAAGAGGTTCCTCTTGCACCCTGCGCCTTCTGAAGGGGCTTGTGTGCCTTTACGACCACCACCTGTGGAAGGAAGAGCGCCGAGAGACCAACGTCCAATTCCCCAAACACCAAAAATGAGGCTGAGCCAGGGGATCGGGACAGTGCGAAGCGAGGCAGCAGCGGAGTTTCAGCATTCCAACGAACCCAGGTCCGTGAAGTCCCAGCCCGAGCTCCTCCTCACCCCTACCCTCAGTGGGACACCACAGGGCCAGGGTCTTCTGAGTCCCGCCTCTCGCCACCGGAGCTGCAGCTCCTGAAGCTCCGAAGAGAACTGACTGACCGACGGCAGAACTGAGCTGTCACCGCCGCCGCCTCCCTCTCTTTATGGATTGGCAGCACTTCCGGTGACGCGCAAAGCCGCCTGGGAAACTGAGTCTTGCGCCCCTAGAGTTGGGGGCTCCCCTGCGCCGGGCCCCCAGATGCCGCGGCTCTCCCCCGAGCCAGGAGGCGTCCGCTCTGCACTTCACTGCTCCGACAGCCCCAGCTCCAGGAAGCCGAAACGTTGGGCTGGGTGAGCTGCTCCCCGCCAGCGGCGGGTCCTTAGCCAGGCCGCGCGCGGCAGGGGCGAGAAGCCTTGGTCAGCTTCGGCGATGCGGCGAGGGCCGGGCGCAAGGCGGACCCCGCAGCACTGAAGGCCCGGCCAGGGCGGCCGCACTGGCCACCGACTCCCCGCGTCCTATTTCCGGATTTCAAAACCGGTTTCCGGGAGTCGGGATGGCGTCCCCATGACAACCGCCGTTGGCCCTTTGAGGTGAGAGTGGCTGATGAGCGGGGAAAGTGAGCGGAAGTCAGTTTTTGTTACTCTATATAATTTTAGTCCAGGTCGCTTCCTTTTTCAGTGGACCTGGAAAGGTGAGGAAAGCTGCTCTGGGGGAACAAGGTGAAGGCAGCGGGTGGTGGTAGAAGAATTGTGTGGAACGCAGCTTTGCCTTGTGATCCCCACCGCCCCCTAACGCGGGGAGGAGCTGGCCGTCCATTTAGGGCAAGCGGTCCTCACCGGGGCCCTTGGTGGTGGCCGGGTTGGAAGCGGGCCAGAGCACGGTTTGACATGCTTGCGACTTGGAGGCATGTTCTAAATCTTGACTCTGCCCTTCCCTGTAAAAGGGTTAATTCTTTCCCACTCTTGCAGATTGTTGCAAGGATTAAAGGGAATTATCTTGGCTGACCAGGTAACCTAAGTGACAGCTAACAATATTATTTGGTAAGCTGTTAGAAGCCAGGCTTAGAGAAGCTACCCTGGGAAGGTGGTCCAGGTGCCTTAGGCACTCAGCCCTTGTGCTATGGAGGTTTAACTGCATTATAATGGCTGCTTCTTCAGATGGTGGTAAAATTGGATATTGTGCGTTGCAAACCATTGCAATTCGTTTTCTAGCTCTTGAAGGCATTTTGAAATTTGCTTACAGGTTTCTTCTAGCCTCAAGGTCAGTGAGCACCCCTAGAGTAACTTATGGGTCTTGGAATAATGAAGGTGAAGGTCCAGCTGCCTTTGCCAGGTGCCATCGCCTTCACCGGAAGGTTTTTGAAAGAACACCGTTTCCTCTCAGCTCTTTCCACCGGCACCACTTCCCCCCTTGCCCTGTGCCATTTACCCAGCTAGACATGGTTCAGGCCGTTGGTTATACAGGAGGTGGCTTTGTGCTTAGTGAGAAGGGTGCAAGTCTGGACTGCCTGGCTCTGAATCCCAGCTCTGCACCTTAATAAATGGGTGACTTTGGATGGGTAGTTTTACCTCTGTGGTTCGCAGTTTTCTCACCTTTAAAGGAGAAGGTGATGTATGTTTAACTTGAAAGTGTTGTGAGCTTAAAACAAGCAGTGTGTATGATAGTCCCAGGCACAGTGAAAATGGTATAGAGAAGGGATGGCTGCTATTGCTTCTACTACAGCAAACCAGCACAACTGGAATACCCCTAGAGCCCTTTGAAAAAGACTGGAAGATTTTCCATCCATTGATTCACCCCCCGAGTGAGCGCAACAGCCAAACTGCGCCAATCTGAAGCCAGGAGCCTCTTCCAAGTCTCCCATGCAGGTGTAGGATCCCAAGGCTTCGGGCCATCCTCAACTGCTTTCCCAGACCACAAGCAGGGAGCTGGATGGGAAGCGGGGCCACTGGGATAGGAACTGGTGCCAGTGTGGGATTCCAGCATGTGCAAGGTGAGGACTATAGACATTAGGCTACCATGCCAGGTCCCAAAAATAAATAAATCTTAAAGGAAGAGCTCTGCATTTAAAGAAATGCCAGGCCTAGAGAAAAGTGAGGGTGAAAGTGCCTTAGAGGGCCCATTGGGGTGGCCTAGCAGCTAAAGTCCTCACCTTGAATGCGCCGGGATCCCATATGCGCCGATTCTAATCCCAGCAGCTCCACTTCCTATCCAGCTCCCTGCTTGTGGTCTGGGAAAGCAGGAGAGAACAGCCCAAAGCCTTGGGACCCTGCACCCACATGAGAGACCTGGAAGAAGTTCCTGGTTCCCCAACTTTGGATTGGCACAGCACCGGCCGTTGCACTCACTTGGCGAATGAATCATCGGACGGAAGATCTTCCTCTCTGTCTCTCCTCCTCTCTGTATATCTGACTTTGTAATAAAAATAAATAAATCTTTTTTCAAAAAAAAAGTGCCTTAGAAGGATGCAGCAATTGGGGTTTCTGGTTGTTGCAATGGAGTTTGGTCCTTTCTGATCTCCCAGTAGTATTTGCTGTGTTAATTATCATCTACTCTTGCCTCTCCCCCCCCACCCCCAGGCCCTCACCAAAGAATAAAGGGAACAACTGATTTAGAGGGACAGAACGCCTCTGCCTCTGGGCGGGTCGAGAAGCAGGAGCAGTTTCCCAGGGAGCTGTGGAATGTGCCCTTGGGGCCCAAGAAAGCAGAAGGAAGATGCTACAGACCAGCAACTACAGCCTGGTGCTCTCCCTGCAGTTCCTGCTGCTGTCCTATGACCTCTTTGTCAATTCCTTCTCAGAGTTGCTCCGCACAGCCCCTGTCATCCAGCTGGTGCTCTTCATGTGAGTTGAGTGGGTGGATCTGGAAAGCTGAACCCAAGCAGAGTGACAGCCCCGGTGGTTGGGGTTAGCGTTTCTAAGTTATTAATAGGGACCTACCACAGAGAATGAGTTTAACATTGTCCTGTGTTCTACATGAAAGCCTGGAAATCACATAGACATGGTCACAGATCCTGTTTGTTTATACACTTAAAATTTTTTTTTAAATTTATTTCAGTAAAAGAAGAGTTACAGAAGGAGAAGGAGACAGAAAAAGAGAAAGATTTTCGACTCACTAGTCCCTTCCCCAAATAGAAGCAACAGCCGAGGCTGGGCCAGCCTCAAACCAAGAGCCTGAAACTCTGTCAGGGTCTGCTGTGTGGGTTGAAGGGGCCCAAGAATTCGCACCATCTTCTGTTGCATTCCCAGGTGCATTAACAGGAAGCTGGATCAGAAGTGGAGCTGCCAGGGCTTGAATTGGTTCTCCAGTATGGAAGGCAGCATTGTAGGCTCAATGTGCTGCCCCACAGCACCAGTCCTGTTGTTTACATACCTCTAAGAAGGGGAGCGTTCACATATGAAATGAAGATGAGAATACTGACCGTGTCATTTTCTCCATCTGTGAATGGAAAGATTGCCTTGCCATGAAAGAGTGCTATAAATTGGCAGGCTGAGAAGATAGTCATTAGGTGTCTGCCACTTGTGTGTAAACTCTGGAAGGCAGTGGTGATGGTTCAGTGAGTTGAGCGCCTGCCACACGTGTAAGAGACCCGACTGAGTTCCTAGCTCCTGGCTTCAGCCCAGTCCAGCCCAGGCTGTCACATACATTTGGGGAATGACCAGTGGAAGGGAATGCCTTCTCCATGGCCGTTTGCCTCTCAAATAAAGTTTTTAAACAGATGGTCATTAAGGCCTGGCAGCATGGCCTAGTGGCTAAAGTCCTTGCCTTGAATGCACCAGGATCCCATATGGGTGCCGGTTCTAATCCCGGCAGCTCCACTTCCTATCCAGCTCCCTGCTTGTGGCCTGGGAAAGCAGTCGAGGACGGCCCAAAGCCTTGGGACCCTGCACTCGCATGGGAGACCTGAAAGAGGATCTGGGCTTCTGGCTTCAGATTGGCGCAGCACCGACCGTTGCGGTCTCTTGGGGAGTGAATCATCGTACAGAAGATCTTCCTCTCTGTCTCTCTTCCTCTCTATATATCTCACTTTGCAATAAAAATAAATAAATCTTAAAAAAAGATGGTCATGAATAATATATGATCATGCTCTACATACTATGTTTCAGTCAGTGAGGGACGCTATTTCTGACAGTGGTTCTGTGGGAGTGTACTTGCCCAGTGTTGTGGGCGCCTTAGTCTGTGTGAGTAGAGCCCATGATGTTCATACAGCAGTGCAATCCCTTAGTGTTTCTGAGAATATATCCTTGCTGATGGAATATGTTGGTAGGACATGTGACTACATCTAAATTCCATAGAACAGAAACTTGCACCATTAAATCAAACTCCACCATGATTTGTAGATTCCCTGAGGCAGTTTCTAAACTGAAAAACCACAGTTTTGGGACATTATCCTTCACTCAGCAAGTATTCATTAGCCTTCTAAATGGTGTTGTAGTTCTTCTAGTGAACCTGACATGGGGTTTCCATTCGAGTGGAGAGATGCCATTAATGTATACTGTAAGATACAATCATTTCTTAGTGATGTGTGAAATACAGTAGTGAGTATGAAATAGCTGGGGTGGAAAAGGAAAAACATGTTGGGTAGAAGGATTAAAGGAAAGTCTTTTTGCAGGAGGGACATTTGGAACTAAGAATTGGATTGGCACGACAGCATTAGGCAAGCTAAGATGGGTGAAATGCTTCTGCCTAGGTGAAATTGACAGGACCAGGCTATGTGTGTGAGAGAGAGAGCTGGCTTTTTCTGGACAAAGAGAGGAAAGAGGTTCTCATCGGTGCCTAATAGATTATTAAGAATGTCCAGGAAAAGGAAAAAAAAAACTGTCCATGAAAGTCTTGTCTGTGGACTGAAACTCAACTGATGAGTACTTTTTACTGATGTGCTATTGAGGTGCCAAAGCCCATGCTATCTCTTGAGGAGGGTGGTCATAGGGCTGTAGCTCATGGTCCAGCAGGACATAGGGCCAGCTCTCAGCTTCTCACACAGACCCCCATTTGGCTGTGCTCTGTTTTGTATGTCTGCAGCATCCAGGATATTGCTGTCCTCTTCAACATCATCATCATTTTCCTCATGTTCTTCAACACCTTCGTCTTCCAGGCGGGCCTGGTCAACCTCCTGTTCCGTAAATTCAAAGGGACCATCATCCTGACAGCTGTCTACTTCGCCCTCAGCATCTCCTTTCATGTCTGGGTCATGGTAAGAGCCGAGCTGTAAATTCTCTAACCTTTCAAGGGCTGGTCTTTTCTCTGAGAATCCACCTTCATTCTTTTATGTCACACAGAATCCTTGATAAGAAACCGGTAAGGTGAAGGTGAGCCAGGCTGGAGCTTTGGGCATAGGACAGTCTCCTGAGGCGCTTTTGCCCAATCCTAGGTCTCGAAGAACAACTTTATCCAAAGGTTGAGGAATTGTTCTGAAACATTCCGTTCACCTTTGTCCCAAACAGGCCTACTAAGGGCTACGATAGGACAATGTGTCATCAGTTGTTTGGGCACGTGAGAGTTGCCGGGAGTCTCCTTAGGCCTCAGTGTCCGTGGCTAATGTGGCAGGAAGAGGGTGTTTCTCAGCAGAAGCCAAATAAGAGTGCTAGGTGCCCTTGGGTGCTGGGTACCCTTTACTCACCCCTTCCAGGACGTTGCTCTTTGCTTCCAGCATAGGATTGGGAGCAGACGCAGCTACCCTGGCTGCAGATGTTTCCAGCTGTAGCAGTTTTCCCATGTCTTCGGGTGTATTACATGTTTATCCTGGACTCATGGTGATGGAACACACATTAAAATCCTTTACATCTTTACTAAAGCTGCCTTCTCAAACATCTGTTAGGCTCCCCTTGTCATGGGGAAAAGGAGAGGCCAGAGGAAGGAAAGAGGAGCACTGCCAACGTCAGTAGCTGCTTCCTGAAGTAGACTCTGAGCCGCGGTTCCTAGAGCCAAAACAGGCCCTGTCTCTGGACACTAAAGCTTCTGATCTAGTTAAGTCTTGAATGCAGCAAAACGTTTATCTGACAGGAGCCAAGCTGCAGACTTTTCCAGGCAAGAGGGTGACCAGATGATTTCCTGAGATAGTGTGTATCATTTCTCCGGGCCAAGGCTATGAAATGAAAGGGAATCAAGAGCTGAGTTGAGCTTCCTTTCTAAGGGTTGTGAGGATATCCCCTTTGCAGCAAAGAAGGAAAAAAAAAAAAGGGAGCTTGAGGCTGCTTTGAGAAAACATTCCTTGTGACTGTAGACAGGCAAAAGGAGAAACCCATACGATTTCCAGCCCAGGGACAGCTCTGCAGCTAGCCAGGCTGGAGATGCCGGGACCTTGCCTGGCCATTGACTTCCCATCTCTTGCAGAACCTACGCTGGAAAAGCTCCAACAGCTTTGTTTGGACAGATGGACTCCAAACGTTATTCGTATTCCAGCGACTAGGTAAGGAACAGAGCCACTTGGGCATCATTTTAGTCCCCTATATATCTCCTGCACTGAGGGCTTTGGTTCTGGATTCCCAGAACTAATGCTGGCTGCTCTGAGCTGGCTGGGACAGGCATCCCGAGAACAGGAGAGATTCCCGCCCTCTGACATTGCTGGAGAAAGGGTGGGGAGAACAGGAGGTAGGCTCCCTCAGCATTGTTGGTTCCAGTCCTGAAGCAAGTATGCAGGCACACACCTGAGGCACCTTTTCTGCTCACCTTGCAGCGGCCGTGCTGTACTACTACTTCTACAAACGCACCGCCGTGAGACTGGGCGATCCTCGCTTCTACCAGGATTCCCTGTGGTTGCGCAAGGAGTTCATGCAAGTCCGAAGGTGACCTCCTCCTGTTGCTTTGATGGATTCCCTTCCCTCCTGAAGAAGGGTTGGCCCAGGAAACAGCTCAGGCCAAAGGACTTCTTGCTGATTAAAGTATTCCCCAACAGACCTGTACATAATCCCTTTCCTGCCTCCTACTTTAGTTCTGCCCTCCTTCCTGCTCTGTCCCATTCACCCTTTCGGACCCCTTAGCCTCAGTTCAGCTTCCTCTGTAGGCTCTGTGGCCCTTGCTTTCCCTTGTGAATCTTTTGCCCTAACCTGGGAGAGAAGGACCTCTCAGGCCCCACTTCCCTAGTGGCACCCGGAACTGACGGAAGGGTGCAAAGAGGGATTATTTTGTGTTCCTGGATGATCATATGATCAAGCTTAGACTTTATACCCAAGACTCTTTGTTTACATTTTATAAATGGAAATAAATTGAATTCTTTTTCCATGAATGGTAGTGTCTATCTGTCCAGGTAGATCTCATCATGGTTAACACGTGTGCCAAGTCCAAGTTTCAGCATCTTTTTTTTTTTAAAGATTTATTTTTTATTATTTTTTTATTGGAAAGGCGGATATACAGAGAGAAAAGACAGAGAGGAAGATCTTCCGTCCAATGATTCATTCCCTAAGTGAGCGCAACGGCTGATGCTATGCCAATCCGAAGCCAGGAGCCTCTTCCGGGTCTCCCACGTGGGTGCAGGGTCCCAAAGCCTTGGGACGTCCTCGACTGCTTTCCCCGGCCACAGGCAGGGAGCTGGAAGGGAAGCGGGGCTGCCGGGATAGAACCGGTGCCCATATGGGATCCCGGGCGTGCAAGGTGAGGACCTTAACCACTTGTGCCACCGCGCCGGGCCCCAAGTTTCAGCATCTTAAGGCCCTGTGAGTAGATTGAATCCCATTTTAAGTACAGGTGTTTTGCAGAAATTTGAGGTGTGATCTAGGTCCCCTTGCCCCCCACACACCTGGATTTCAAGATTCCCGGACTTTATTCAGACTTTTTCTCTTTGAGAGGCAGCCAGGATTAGAACCCTCGCCCATATGAGATCCTGGTGCGTTCAAAGCAAGGACTTTAGCCAACAGGCCAGCACACCGGGCCCTGAGCCCAACATTTTTAAAGAAAGACAATAATCATTTGTAGTCAGCTGTGGGTCATCTGGGAAGATGTGATCATCTTGGGATCTTTGGGTTCTTGGCTAACCTAGGATGACCGCCTCTGGAATAACTGTTTCTTAACCCTGGGCACATGATTCAGCCACCCAGAGTAACCTGGGTGCTGTTCATATGACAGTGCAGAGGAGTGGGTGAGAACAAGCCCCCATGGGTACTCCTACGCTCCCACTGGTCAGGGTGAGTCAAATGACCGAGCCCATGTCCGCGTGGGAAAGTATAGCAAAGCTTCTGGATACAGAAAAGTTGAAGAATGGGGCTCATTGATTTAATCAGTCTATTGTGCCAGAGAGGTAGCCTATGAAACTCTGAATAGTAGTACAGTGTAGCATGGGGGCTGGTAAACTTTTCCTTGAATGGCCAGATAGTAAATATTTTAGACTGAAAGCCAAGCTTCAACTCACATTAGAACATGAAAATATCCATAGATAAAATGATTTACTACATGAATGAATAGAGCGGTCTGCCTGTGAAACCGTTTATAGACACTGACATTTGAATTTGACATAATTTTCATGTCACAGAATAATGCTCTTCTGATTTTTTTTTCTTTTATCATTATTTTTTTACTATGTGTGAATGTAAAAGTACTCTTAGCTTGTGGGTTATACAGAAAGCCTGACTTGATCCCAGGCCAAAGTTTGCGAACTCTGGTGTTAGAAACCTGGAATAGACTTTGTAGAAAAAGACAGGAGAGAATAGAGGTAATAAGATGTTGCTGTTTTACCAAATATCACAAAAGAAAAGGTACAATATTTGAATGAAGTACCTAAAGAGCCAGCCTCATACACAGTAATTAATTCAAATGATCTAAAGTTTTAATAAAGTCACTGTCTACTTTTACTATTCCTTTATCTATGAGGGAAAAAAATGAACAATATGGGGCTGGTACAGGGGGTAGAGCAGATGAGGCCTCGACTGTATCACCAACCTCCTATGTGGGCGCCAGTTCATGTCCAGCTGCCCCTGCTCCTGTCCAGCTCCCTGCTATTGGCTTGGGAGAAGCAGTGGAGGATGGCCCACGTGCTTGGGTTTCTGCCTCCCACATAGGAGACCCAGATGTAGCTCCTTGCTTTGGCCTTCCTCAGCACTGGCTGTTACAGCCATTTGGGGAATGAACCAGTGGGAATGAAGATCTGTCTCTGCATTCTCTAATTCTGACTTTGAAATAATTTTTTAAGAGAAAGGAATAATACTTGGTTTTGAACCTTTTCACAAAAATAGCTACAGGAATATAAGAGGTTACCAAGCTGTTGTAGATGCTAGCCAGAAAAAGGACAGTCATGGGTCAAGTTTGTGCAGACTGCCAGCCACCAAACCAGGTAGCGTTGGAAAAACATGCACTGGTCCAGAACAAAGCATTTTTCACTCATAAAAACATGGGGAAGGAAGACCCCTGTTGTTTACATTGAACCTATATTGACTGCAAATAAAAGGGGCAGGGTTACAGGAAGTGGAGAAGCCTTAAAATAGGAAGGCAGTCCTTAAGAAAGACCTGTTGCTTCTGATCTGCTTGAGGCTTACAGTCCAGAAAGTATAAATGAAGCAGTGCAGTGGGTAAACAGGTTACCGTGACCCTGATGGGATTTATGTCAGGATTTCAACATAACATGTCTTTATTGGTTTTACCTGCAGCTGGTAACTGATTAACTTTCCTTATCTTTCCCATCCTATCCCTACCACCATCCTCCAGCCCTCGTATTTACATTAGTATATCTCAAAATCTTCTATCACTCAGCACAAACTCTTCTCAGTAAATCTTTTTGGGGGTATTTGGCTTAGACGTTGAAATACCCACACCAGCACTAGAGGTATAGCCGGTTAAACCTGTGCCTAGGACACCAGCATTCCATAATGGCACCAGTTCAAGTTCCATCCAGCCTCCCCACTTTCAATCTAGCTCCCTGCTAATGGCCTGGGAAAAGCAGTGGAGGATGACCCCGCGCTTGGGCTCCAGCACTCATGTGGGAAATTCAAAAGCAGCACCCGGCTCCTGGCTTCGGACTAGCCTGCCTCCTGCTCTGGCAGCCACTTGGGGAGTGAACCAGGAGATGCAAGCTCTCTGTCTCTCCTTCCTTCTTTCTTTGTAAACTCTTGTCTTTCAGATAAAAATAAATAAGTCTTTGGGTGGGGGAAATGCTACCACATCTCATGTTAGAGGTGCCAGATTTAGTGCTCACCTCTGGCTCCCGACTCCATGTTCCTGCTCCTGCAGACCCCGGTGGGTCAAGTGACTGGGTTCCTGGTATCCACTTAGGAGACCTCGATTGAGCCCCTGGCTCCCTGCTCTCACACCAACCCAGCCCAGGCCATTGTAGCCATCGGAGAGGTAATCTAATGGATGGGAGTATGTGATGCCTCCCTCTGACCTCTTTATGCCTCTGAAATTAAAAACAACAAAAAAAATTTTAAAGGCCTTTTTTTTCAGATTTATCTTTATTTGAAAGACAGATTTTATAGAGAAGAGAGACACAGAGAGAGGGGGCTTCCATCTACTGGTTGAGCTGGCTCAAAGCCAGGAGCCAGGAGCCTCGTCTGGGTCTCTTGCATGTGTATAGGGGCCCAAAGTCATAAGCATGGAGCTGAATCAGCAGTGGAAGAGCTGGACATGAGCCAGTACCCATATGGGATGCTGACACTGCAGGCAGAAGGCCGATGTGCTATACCACCACACTAGTTTTCTGTGCCTCAAAGTGAATCAAGGTGAGCTATTGCTGTGGTGTAGTAGGTTAAATTTCCACTTGCAGTAGCAGCAGCATCCCATGTAGGTGTTAGCTCAAGGCCCAGCTGCTTTACTTCAACCCAGCGTCCTACTAATGTGCTTGGGAAAGCAGCGAAGGATGGCCCACATGCTGGGGATCCTTTACCCACTTGGGAGAATGGGCTGAAGCATCTGGCCCTGGCTTCAGACTGGCCCTGCTCTGGCCATTGTGACCATTTGGGGAGTGAGCCAGCAGATGGAGGAACTCTCTATAACTCTGCCTTTTATGTAAAAATAAATAAATCTTTTTTAAAAAAATGCATCCAATGTAGAGAAATAAATTACATAAAGGGTAAGGGAGAGCTTATGCAATAATCTTTCTACTGCTCACTGTCAACCATTATGTTCACTGTCTCTCAGCAGTCTTTTATTATCGGCTTCTAATAGCATGATAACATTTCAGAACTATTTATACAAGTAAAACATTGAGCCTGGCAGCGACTTAGCAGCCAAAGTTGTCGCCTTAACATGCCGGGATTCCATATGAGCGCTGGTTCTAATCCCAGCAGCCCCGCTTCCCATCCAGCTCCCTGCATATGGCCTGGAAAAGCTGTGGAGGACGGCCCAAAGCCTTGGAACCCTGCACCCACGTGGGAGACCTGGAAGAAGCTCCTGGCTCCTGGCTTTGGATTGGCCGTTGCGGTCATTTGGGGAATGAATCATTGGATGGAAGGTCTTCTCTTTCTCTCGTCCTCTCTGTATATCTGACTTTCCAATAAAAATAAATAAATCTTTTTTAAAACAGTAAAGAGTTGTTGTAGTGTCCTTAATTTATCTCAATTTTTACTAATACATGTATGTTTTATATATATTTGTGATTGTACAGAATAGACTATAAATTATTTTGCTTCTTTTTTCCACTGCTTTGTAAAAAGGAATGCTTCCAAAAGTCAAAATGTTTAAATTGGTGAAGAAATGTTCTGAAAAATCTAAGAAGGAATATCCCAGAATTTCTTGAAAATGTATGTTATGGAAACATAAGCATAGATTTTACAGGTTTTTCTATTTAAAATTACATTTTAACTCATTTTTTAAAAGATTTATTTAGTTGAAAGACAGAATTACAGAGAGAAGGAGAGACAAGAGAGATCTTCCATCTCTTGCTTCGCTCCCCAAATGGCTGCAACCAGCAGGGCTGAGCCAGCCTGCAGCCAGGAGCCTGGGGCTCCATCTGGGTGTCCTACAAGGATCACAGGGACTCAGGTCCTTGGGCCATCTTCCCCTGCCACCCCAGAGACCCCTCACCTGCCAGGCCACACCACTCGCCCCTGTGTTAATATTCTGAAGTATCCTCACATCTAATTTCTGCCTTGTTTCCTGGCACACAATCTCCTAACAGCCTTAGAGTCTGAAGTGATAAGCATGTGTCTGTGTGCGCAGGAGTTGATTGTGCTGGGGCTCCTGCATGGCCCTGGGTGAGGATAGCTTGCCAAGAGACCAACCATGTGCTCAGAGCGTTGCAACATCAACTCCAAATCTCGGGGG